ACTTACGAGGGAACCGTCACAGGTGTCCCCTTCCGATTCCAATGATTTGTACATGAATCGATAGACCTCAGTGAGGTAGTAAATACCCTAAAAGGATTTGTGCTCTTGACTCTTGAAGATCCAGTTTTCTGGAAAATCAGTTTTTCAGAACCTCTAAAAAATGATCAAAACCTTTTCATAGTAAGACCTGGTTGTAGTCCGCAAATTTCTGATTAAAATGAGACATCTCCCAGCTGTACATGACCTTTCTTTGCAAAGTTATAGAGTTTACAAGAAAAGCCCTAAAGTCATTTTTCTTTTTTCTTTCTTTAGCTCTGTGGTATCAATAAACATTTAGGGCTTTTGTGGTAAATTCTATGACTTTGCAAAGAAAGGTCGTGTACAGCTGGGAGATGTCTCATTTTACTCAGATCAGTTAGAATTGCACCTCATTAAGAAAGCTTTTAGTTATTCTTTAGAGTTTCTGGAAAACTCAGTCTATCAAGGCCTAGCAGCAAAAACGGTTGTCATATTCGGATTCAGCGCATCCGATTACCTATTGTCCAGTGAGTCTTAGCCTAAAAGCGATTAGACAGTTGGTGTCCTTTCCTCGTAAGGCTGAAATTTTGCATATAATCCTAAATATGTTTAAGCATTATGGTACAATTGTTTCGCTCAAAGTTCGTCTTTTAAGAGAGCCGGGCGAAAAAACTTTTGTAGTGCCCTATGTAATTTTGTTACCCAAAATTTGTCGGCTCGTCGGATTTTATACGCTCCTATGTGATCCGTGATCGAATTGATGGACCGGGGCACGACAAATCCCACATGCACTAATCCATTCTCTTCACATCCACCCACCTGTACCTTCAATGTTGAGTCCGAATATGAAATTCTTTTTGAGAAATATTGTGAATAAAAAAGAATTGGCCTTATCGATACTTGTTCTTTGTCAAAAAAACTCAAACTTTTTTTTGATACTACTTCCATTTTATTTAGATGAAAACATTAATACCATAGCTCATTTACGTACAATTACCAATGATGCTTGGGAAAAATTAAGTAGACTAACACATGTTGTAAAACAGTTGATACGTGATTATTTACAATTAAATACAGGTTCAAATATATTTAATCAGGGCAATATTGATCCATACAAAGAATCCAAAGCAACATTGTTTGGTGATATTCATCGTGTTCGACGTTATTTTTATTATGTAACAAAACATTTACATTTAACATCGTATTTAGATCGTCGTGCAGTTGATTTAGCAATTGACGAAGTACGTAAAACATATGATGATGATGGAAATGTTTTAATTAACATACAAAATTATCTTCATACATTTTGTTTGCAAAATATGATGGATAATGCAATTACTTTACAACAAAAACGTCAAGAATGGACCAATGAATTAAGTCAATTATATTCTGATACACAAACATTACAATTAGAAGTTAATAAGCATCAATCTAGATTACATGCTGCTAAAGAAGCTTTTAAATACTCTGAAACACATTATCAAATTATAATAGATAAAGAAAAAGATGTTAAAGAAAAAGTAAATGCTAAATTAAATAAAGTTTATAATCTTAATAATACTTCATATTCAAATTCAAATTGGATAACCGATATTGAAGATGGAAATAATATGAAATTAATATATCAAGAGGAAAAGAAAAATGCTGAACGTGCATTAGAAAAAAGTCGAATTGAATTAAAAAAACAAAATGATATTGATTTGGACTTAAAAACAAAAATTGAAAATAATAAATCTCAAATAAAATGTTTAGAAAAATTTTTAAAATTGAATTTAGAGGAAGAGCATAAAAAATTAATGGTTAAGTATGGTCGCGGTCTTCTACTTTATGGACCACCTGGCACAGGTAAGAAAAATGAAACACATCCACGTAGACATCAGTAAACTTATTAGCCGATTCGACTAATTCAAATGGCGATTCGCTCCAGAAACTGATGCAGAGTTTCCTTTCAATGTTTCAAGTACAACTCGATGAGCTATATTAAATAGGGGCTATATGTTCAGTTTTTCGGTAGGCCAAACTATGCTTCTAAATTACAACGTTTTCCTAATGGAATTCTGACATCCGCTTCAAAACAAATATCATAGTCAGAATCAGCGCAAAAAACTGCATCGGATAGAATATATTTTTGCAAAAAGATTTTTTTATGGAAATCGACCCCCAGGAGGGACCACGGGCAAACTTTTGGTAAAAAAAGTGTTGAGAGGGGTACTGGTGACTTTTTGGTAAACAAAAAAGTATTCTATCCGATGCAGTTTTTTGCGCTGATTCCGACTATGATATTTGTTTTGTTCTCAAATTGAGCCATGATAATAAAAACTGCCAAATAAGATCGCAAATTTCTATGGTTTTGCTACTGACATGGGAAATAATTGGATTTTTTCCAAAAGAAAACAAAATATAACAAAATTCACTAGGTAGTTTTGAAGGCTGGATCCTAGGATCCTCAGTGAGACCAAATATTTGGTTCTTACGAAAAACTAGATAGAGTTGTAAAGATAGCCATAAATATACACTTTGAGGCATAGTTCAGCTATCTCTAGTCCACAGTATCTTTTCCAACATTATGGAGTTTACATACAACCAAATAGCATTTTTATACCCAGTTTTTTGCTGATCACGAATCTGAAGTCAGATTTTGATTTAGGATACACCATGTCTATATAGCGGCCAGTTACCGACGAGAATGGTGATTGAGAATCATCATAGTAGAATATTTCTGGTCTTTACTAGATACCTGTGCCTGCCTTTTTTTTTAATTTTTATGATCTAACCTCAAAAACTGAAGACTTGTGACCTTCGGCATTTTTTCATAAGTACGTCAGAAAAGTCTAATATTTTGGATTTAGAAGTTTCACAATACAGTCTTTCATTTGAGCGCAAAAAATCAAAAAAACATTTAGCGGCGGCCGGCTCCATATAAAGTTGGGGGGGGATCATCTGGTGGGCCCTCTCTTAAAAGCATTTTTTGAATTTCATTGCTTAGACTGTACTTAACCGAAACTATTGTTACTAACCTAGGAGATTCATTAAGTCCCAGACTGTTTCAGTTTTAGGCACTGTAATGTTGCCATATCCTTGAAAAGAAGCTGCCGCGCCGCTATGAATATCTCTGGTTTGAACATCGAAGATGTACTCTGAGACGAATCACTGCTGGAATTAGTCGAACGGGCTGCTAACTTCTCCCACATTCTACGTATATCTAGGGTTTTACTTACGTAGAATGACTCAAGAAGATTCTTAGCTTTATATATCAAGCCACAAATGAAGAAAAAGAATGCCATGCCGTTCGGTTATCTTACGTTATTAGGAGACAGTTTCGAAAGTTCGATACTTTTCTACAACTATTGCTAGCTGTAGGTCTGAACAGAGTGCGGACCTGATCCAAAGTTCGCCGTATACACCAACTAATCACAGGAACCTTTTCTATATATTAACCATGTAGTCAGGGTATTAGCGGACAGGAAATTCGAGACAAAACAGCCGTTAGTGACTTCCTCAGGGCTCTTCTGTGTTCAGTAACATCGAGCTTCAAACAACTTAATTACTCAACCATAGTGGTTCTAAATCACAAAAGTTCCTTATTGTGTTTTTTTTTCATATTAAGGAAAATCTGAATTACTTAAACGAGTTGCTATATATGCTGGAATAACAATGGTAACACAACCATTAGCTGCTGGTGAACTTAATCGTCCATATGTTGGTGAAACAGAAAAGTTATTAATCGATATAATGTATCGTGGTAATACTATTCCCTATTTGATATGTGCTATGACAATTGATGAAATTGATGGTCTTGTACCAAAACGTGATAATAATGCTCAACAATCAAAAGTAGATGGTATAAGTGTATTATTATCTCATATTGAAGGTGTTAAAAATATTCCAAATTTAATTGTATTTGGTGCAACAAATCGTCGTAATATGATGGATGAAGCATTTCTTCGTCGTATGCAAGCCAAAGTGTTTGTTGGCCGGCCATCACCAAAAATACGAGAAAAAATGTTACAACCATTAGTAACTAAAGATTCGAAAGCATTTACAGCAAAATGTATTGAATTTTTAGTTAAAATCACGACTAATTTTAGCGGTGCAGCAGTTGGTGCATTGAAATCAAGTATTATTGTTGCAATGGATAGTGATCCAAATATAAGTGATTCGACATTGTTAATATTAGCTGATGTAGCTGCACGAGAATTTAATATTTGGTTTGGTATTAGTACATTACCAGAAATTTGTCGTTTAAATCCACTTATTTTTGGTTCTCAGCAACAAGATAATTATTCGCTAGCTTTACCAAATCTATTACCTACTGGACGAATTCTAGTTGATTATCAAGATCGTAAATGTCTTATCGAAATACAAAACGATGTAACAATAGAAAAAAATTTAGATAAACATGAAACATCAGTTCCATCATTATTGGCACGTTTTGTTCATGGCTGTTCAAGTCGAAATATTGATACAATTCAAATAATTGATTTAAATTTTTTGACAAAACAAAATGCATTTGATGAAAATCAAATATTTGAATTATTAACTACAACATTTTTAGAATGTAATGAATATAATCGTTCAGTACTTATATTTGATATCGATTCATTAATTATGTTAAGTATATCAGATTCAAAAATGTCACAATCAAAATCAATATCAAATATACGTTTGTATCAATTTATAAGAGAAAAATGTAAAACAGCTATTGTTGAACAAAAATCAAGTAATGTTAATGTACGATCATCCTACGAAAAAAAACATTTTTATTTCTATTGATTGAGCGTTCATGAAGACTTTTCTATTGCATTTGTATGCACGGATAGGAATGTTAGTTTCGAGTTCCGTCCCCATGAATCCGGAAACTTGACGGATTGCTATTCCTAGTGATAGAACCCACACAATGTGTTTCTAAGGACTATTTTTAAAGAGTCAAAAGATGAATACTTTGTTTGTGAGAACTGATACGATACTGATTATACTTTTCTAGTTTTTTTAGTTCACAATACACAAAAATGACAAGATTCGCGTTCCTCAATGCTTCTGTTCCCAGGGAATGGAAATTCATTTTGATCAATGTTTTTGACACGATGGTGTAGTTACGCACTCTTTTACTATCGTTTGTCAGAAAGTTATTATAGGTTCTTAGGAACACGTATCTCGGGTGGGTTCCCTGTTTCGAGGGATCCGGAACCCATGATAATTTTCTGCGAGAGGATAATAAAAGAGTGTGTGACCATTCGAGCGTGTCAAAAAGAATCGAGAAAAATGGGCTGCCATTTTCTTGGGACGGGGACCTTGACACTCCTACGCACGGATACCTTTTTTTCTAAATCTCTAACACTAATGCACACAGATACTAAATAAGTAGGGTAACCGACATTGAGACAAGCACATAGTAGAACAATGGACATTTCACGCAGCTAAAAATCAGTACATTCGTAAAATCAAACACTTCTACGATTCAAAGCTCTGCTCATCCTCACCCTCAAGCCCTTAATAACATAAGTTTATGTCAAGAACAGAGCTTTGAATGATCCAAAGAAAGTCGACTTCATGGGTTACCAAACGATGACTTGGCATAGCCCATGGGTTTTCTTTTCTATAAAGAGGTGAGAATGTAGATGAGCATAGTTGTTCTCTTCATGATCCTCAAGATTTTTAGGGGGTCGCATTCACTTGGCCGACAATCACTTTGCCGATGCCACTTGGCCGACATGTACACTTTGCCGACAACTCATTTTGCCGACAAAACATTGAAGTCCAAAAAAGCCTTTTCCAGTTTTCGTGGACTTCTAGGAAATTAGGGTTCATTTTGTTCCCCGCTGGAGATCTAGGTCGAATTTGTTCGGGAATGGAGGGGTGCTAACGCTATAAAACGAGCCTCAAACATAGGAAAGATTTTTTGTGTGTATCAGAAAAAGTAAGGGTGAATATCGATGAAGATTAAACAAACAGTGATTGCAGTTGGATATGAGTAATATCGAAAAAGCTCTCACATCGTACCGAGTTTGTTTAAAGAAAATTTTATCGTTATACATCATACTGTAAGAAATACACGCTTCCTAAATGCTTTTGGCGTACATGCGGCCAAATGTCGTTGCGCCCAAATATCTGGTAATCAAATATAATATCTTGTTGCTTTCATTCACAAATGATTCATTTCATTCAAAAATCGACCTATGAGTACCCATCGCAAAATCAAGCCCATTAAGCTCGGTTCATAGTTTCTTTTCAAAAAAAATTTCGACCCATTCGAAGCTCCGGTAGAAAATTATGGTATTTTCATTCGTTCTGAATATGCTCATGTGCTCTTTCTTTTGGTCCTTATGTTTTCTCTATTGTTCTGTACTATGCCCGATGCTCCCTCTACTCTCTTTCCTATATAAGTGTGTGTTATATGTATGTCGCTTAATGAACATACATACCGAAGGATAGCGAAAACCTACTCCTTTAGTTTGTCATTACACGCACGTCATTTTTTTTGACAAAAACTATTGGTTGATCACGGACCGTAAAAAACCACCGATTCTAACCGGTTAGGCTTTTTAAATGATATTCTACCGATTTTTCTGCTAAGATGATATTATCTCTCGTTGAGATATTAAGTTTTACCCAAAAAAAAGCCGATTTTAACGTAATGTTAGAGATGGCACTACAATTTCTCGATTGATTAAGTCATCGAACTAATAACTATTTTTTGTGATACCATCTTTATTAAGTAATCAAACTGGAAAATTGAGCTAAAACTATCGATGTGGCTTGAGTGTGCTGACAATTAATAGGAAATGTGATTTCTATTGAAATCTAACATTTCTAAAAAAATATGAACTGGAATTTTGAAAAGACGTCAGAAACCGTGATTTTCAACCGATCCGAATCCTTCTAGAACATCGAACTTACGACAAAGTATATAAAATTTAGAAGTTTAAAAACTTTTTCCTTTGTGTTCACTTAGGCTCCAGTTGTTGAAAAATGGATTGTAATGATTGTCAAAGACCCATTATTAAAAGGTTTACTTATTGATGATATTGAATTTAAAGAAACAAGTTTTCAATTAAAACAAAAACAAGATGAAGAAGAAAAACGTAAAGATGATGAAACAGTTAAAAAATGTCCAAAATGTTTACAAAATTATATACCAGCTAAATCAAATTATGGTGATTGTTGTTATCATGATGGTTTTGTTTATGATTTAGATGCACAACAACGATTAACTAGTGATCAAGCTCGAGAAAAAATACAACAAATAAAATTATTAAATAAAAAACAATCACAAGTACATTCTGCTATAAAACATGAAGTAAATTTTATATGGTCATGTTGTTTAGCATTAGATGACGATCAACAAGCAGCATCTGGATGTCAACGAGGTGCACATGGTTTACCAGACGAATTAAAAGATGTAGATTTAACAAATAAAGATTCAATTGCAATTGTACAAGAACATTTTATGAAAAATCAAGTAGCATCGAAAAAACTAAACAATTTTTTACAAAATCAAAAACAACAACCCATCATTAAACTGCCAATCGGAGCTGCCGTTGGAAACAAGTTCAGTAGTAGTAGTAATCTCACAAATTTAAAACATTAATTTTTTATATGTAGTCGAGAATTAGAATTCTATTTTTGTTCTATTAAAATTAAAATTCCAATCTTAACAAGTTGAATTTCGAATTGAAATAGATTCTGTTCTTGACTATAACATATATTTTAGTCCTTTCATTCTTTGAATTTTATGAAAATACTCAAGATTGTTAGTTTGCTATAATAAATATAATGGTCTTTTTTTCAAAACAAATAACAAAAAGAAATCTGATATACGTATTTATTCATTCGAGTGGAAGCGTACGGTCTTGTTCTAATCGTTTTCAGATCAGATCTTGGAAGCAGAAGTACGATGTCCAAATTCAATGACTGTCTGACATGTTCCAGCTGGAAAGTCTGTGAAAGCGAACACCAGAATCGTTGATCAACAATTTATGCTGCAAAAACTTGAGCTAATAAATCGAATGTCATATTTTTAAGCAGAACTGAATAATTTTATGCTTAATCCAATTCTGCATATAAAGAGTGATATAAACACTTTTTCACAAATATTCAAAATATTCACAAATATTCAAAATATTCATATCTTACTTATATCAATAACAATGTAGACGGAAAATAATTTTTTTTATTTAACAAAACCCATGAAGAAATATTGAGAAAAAAATGAAAATATTTGAAATTGAATGTTTATCGTATATAAGGTAATTTTTCAATTTAAACACATAACCAATATATCAGACTTTACACTACGGATTCAAGGATGAATATGAGTGTACGTGTCAAAGTATTCTATTTCTCATAATATTTGTCCCATCACTGCTGACTAATTAATATTAACTAATGATGTCTGCCACTATCTATGACGTTTCGATGCTATTGTCTGTCATGATTTGTGGGAAAGACGACTGCAAGTTCCAATCCTAATACGCCTCAACACTTCTTTTAGTTCATGTTTCACAAAAAAGCAAAAGTTATAGCCGTTCATTAGAGCTAGAAATATTTAGTAGAAAATTCCAATAGTTTTGCCATATATATTATTAGCAATAGAGACCGAAAACGAACCGAAATGTTGAAAATTGAGCCGAACCGAACGACTTCTGTTCAATTCGAATCTGTTGGAGTTCTGAGTTTTGGAAAGTGACCGTTAAGTTATTGTTAAGTCGTTGCTGTTGTTTTAGCCAAATACTCTGTAAACTAGTTCCACAGTAAGATTGAGCGATTTGCGAATAGTCTCACTTGGGTTGAAGTACATTCACTGGCATGGTAACCAGACAAGTATTCTGAATGGAAAGAGAATACTAAGGTTATTTACAGAATAAGCTTAAAAAAAAAAGAAAATGCTTCATACAAAAAAAAGCCTTAACATATAATTACACAATCATTTGAAACTATGACTATTCTCGATTAATATCACAGCTACGTAATCTGAGTACTTTTCTATACGAAAAACATATAGTGTTGTTACCCTTTAATATATGTTTTGGAGGATTTTTGTATACTTGAAAATGAACTTGAAGGCAGATAGGAACTATATATTGACAATGATGTTGGTTGTAATGGAGAAATTGTCGAGGTTAAGGGAGTGATGGCTGGTTCTACAAGAACAGGTTCACCCGATAAGTTTGAAACAGGTTTTGGTTGTCCGAGATTTTTTTGCCGCTTTCTCGGCCAATTTTAATTTTCTTTTTTCTCTTTCTGCATCTATGACTTGAAGTCGATGTAACGCATCGACGCTTGCCAAACTCTCACCGGAATTCCTAGGAATCATGGCTTTCCGTCGAGTATCATGTACAACTATCGGTGTTAAATAACGTTGCAAGGTTGTCGTTATAGCATTTTGGATCAATAAGCATAAATCATCTATTAGAAAAAATGATGTAATGTAACTTAATAAGCGGAAAAGATCTTACTATTATATGGAGATACAGGTTCGACCAAGCTTTTAATTGTTTTAACACTAGAATCAATTGACAGCGACGAAGACGGATCTGTAAAAAAAATGTCTTACCTCACTAAGAGTAGCAGTGAAACAGATTTCTTACCACATTCACCTTGGGATGCATTAAGTAATGAAAATGACGAGGCAATTATTGATGACGTTTTCGAGACAGACGATTTTAAAGCAGAAACAACAGGTGTAGTAGTTATTAACGAACTATTGATTTGATCAATTAGTGAAGCATCCATTGATAATGAAGTAGAAGAGGCTGATGGTATGGATGATTGAACGGTTTTGTCATCTACAATGACCGAAAATCTAACACAGGTCTGAAGTCAAGGTACTAATTTAACTAGAGTGCAACTGAGGGTACCAGATATTCGGTCGACAATACCCTTGTTAAATTCGAGCGACTATTCAATGATGATAACGGCGTTGAATACGCTATTTTTTCTAAAGGTATAGCCCGGTTGACATAAGGAAAGACACCGACCTTAGCAAATCCACCGGCACAATATGCTGGACATAATGCATTTGTGTACAACTACTTGAACAACAAGGGAAATACGGATTTGTCGACTTTGTCAGCATTTGTTTTAAGATAATAATCCCGTAGTATTTTTCTCCATTCTGTTTTAACAATTTTGAGAGTATAAAGATCCAGTGGTTGCAGCTGAGATGTGGTATGTGGAGACAGACCAAGAATATGTACCTCATTATCGAGTACCAGTTTCATTATTCTGTAGGATAAATGTGAGTGGTGATTATCCACTATCAACAACAAAGGGTGTTTGATTTTTTTGTCTCTTTTAGAAACTGTTTAGAAAACCAGGTATAGAATACTGGTTCTTCCATCCAGCCCGATCCACTTGTATCCATTGTACCAGGATAATTATTCTTAGGTAACCAAGTATTGTATAATCTTTCCGCGTTTTGCACAATGTACGGCGGCAAACATCTGCCACACAGAAAAAAGAGAATTATTATGTTTTTATCCTGCACATATCAGTTTTTTTTCATACCTGCCGCTAGCTGAAGTAGTCAACAAAACTGCTGTCTGACTTTTGCCACTCCCACCATGAACATCAATTGAATACCGTCTTTCTCGCCTGACAACAACTGACTTTTTGTCTGGGTCATCTGAGAATTCACTTTCATCACAGTTAAATATGTTTGTCGGTTTATCGAATAAATCGAGTTTTTTTAACATTATATACAACTTGTTAAACCAAATATCGAGAACTTGAACGGACAATGCATCATTGCGTGCTTTTTCAAATTTCATACTTTTCATTATCTTTAACTCGGATGACCATCTCCTCATAAAACCGTAAAACCAATCTTTACCTGGACCATTATCTGGAATATCTTTCTTTAATTCTGCCATATAACACCAAGCTATTGTACATACATTTGAATTTGATACAGGATGATTATAATCTTGCATTGTTTTTATCACATAAACCAGATGAGACTCTTCTTCTTTACTCAATATTGTTGTGCCACCATGTGGACTAGAGCCATTGTGTCCTGGTAGACGATTGTATAATGTACTAATCGGTAAGTTAATAGTATAGTCGAAAAGTATGTTAGATCCCATCAATTTTATCGATAGGAGGGAAAAAAACCAAAATGTGCTCGTGTTCTGACATTGCCACTATCAAAAATCGATTTTCAGGCAAAATCAAGTTAATATTCGGAACCAGCGCACAAAACTGAATCAGAAATAACGTATGTTTTGTCAAAGACATCTGCCATCGACATTAGAACTTAGGCGGCGTTGTTTATCTTTAAAAAAGACCTGAGAGAAAAGGTGGAAAGCTCTAAAATGGTGCAAAATACGTCCGATAAAATATTATATTCGATAAAATTTTTGTCATTCGGTTCAGCCCATTAATGCACACAATGAATCTTTCACCATGTAAATCTCCACCAGTTCTATATACGGTAGAATACTCACTTGATTTTGCGTAAAATTTGGCTTTTATATTGAAAATTTAATACGAGTTCATTTTCGTGTTCTTTTCGTAACGTCTCAGCTGAGATGCAATCCATATTTTAATCAAGATCTCAGTTGAGAAACCATTATTTCTGCGAAAATATTCGTTTCTCAACTGACACACAATTTTGACACATGAGTTGAAACGTGCAAAAGTGGCGTGTGCAAAGGCCTATTATTCAATAGTTCTACAAAATCTACAAGAATTACAGCGACTTTCACGCCATTTTGCATACTTAGACGTTTTTTTCCACAAAACTCGTGATTCAGACATAAGGCGTGGAGAGTAATGAATAAGGACTAATTTTGTTATGTTTTTTGCATACATGCAATTACTTGATAATAATTTAATACATGGTAATATTTGAGCATGTAATGTGGGGATAATTCCTTAGATAGTCAGCAGAGATACATCATATACCTAATTTCATTTCATTCACTATTGAATAATAGACCTTTGCACACTTTTGCACGTTTCAATGCATGTGTCAAAATTGTGTCTCAGTTGAGAAACGAATATTTTCGCAGAAATAATGGTTTCGCAACTGAGATTCTTGATTACAATATGGATTGTGTCTCAGTTGAGTCCAAACCGTTCTTTTACACTGACTTCAAGAAAGGCAACTTTCAGGTTGATGAACGATTTAAAAATGTCTCAACGTACTTTCTTTCTCAGTAGTCTAGTCGTTCGAATTATATAAGGAAAAACTTTTTATCTCCTAAGATCTAGGACGAGCTGGAACCATATTTTAAGTACTCCTATCTATGTATAGTGGGAAAGTGTCCATGACACCTATTAATAAGAGCGGTGAGATAGAGCATCAGATGTGGGAGCGAGCCACATGACAACATTTCTTCAGAAAGACAAAATTTGATCATGGTAAGTTATTAAGCGGGTAGTAGCAAAATGTTCGCGGAAGCGCCGGTTAATCATGTACAATGATTTCATTAAACAAAAGCAATCACTCTAACTGAATGCTCGATCAAGACAAGAATAAACTTTGACTTATGTGTCGTTATATACAATATAGGAAAATTGAATCAGCTCATTCAGTGTCGTGCGCTTCAGTAGTCAGATCTGTTTCTCTGTTTTGTTTGCTCATCTCTTTTGCGCTGACATTAGGCATTTGAACTGAATATATATGATTAAATTTTGTATAATCCACTCGATATTGTCCGCGACCTTTTTCAAATGTCACTAAACTCTCAAATCTACAACCCCAAATGACTTCGGATGGCAAATAAGAAATACGTGCTTGAGTTGTCATTCCGGTTGCTTCTACTACTCCTTCCAGCAATACAACAATTTCGAAACGTTCCTTCATCAAATCGTCTTTGCTCATATTCCACAATGGTGATTTTTCGTTAATAGTATGTTGAATAATCAATGGTCGAATTAGAAATATACGATCCGTACCAGTATCGTATCCCACATTCATATCATAAGTGTTTAGAGGGATTTCCTCGCCTTCTTTTGTTATACGTTTTTTAATCATATACATTCGCACATGTGCTTCGACAAGAAATGATTTTCTCATATCACCTACGCGACATTGTAATGTGTATGAACCATCTCTTAGACACATAATAGCGTGCTTTGACCACAATAATGTTTCAGCACGTAATCTCGGACGGGATATTTTTGCAAATACTAGACCAACCACAAAACTTTGAATCAACACACCGATACTCGATTGTACCATAATTAAAAATACGCCAAAATGACAATTCTCATTTACGGAACGAGTGCCATAGCCAATGGTCTGTTGCGTTTCAATTGAGAATAGAACAATACCAGCAAATGAATGTACCCCAATGACACAACCTGAATAATTTAAATTTTTCAAACGGCCAAATTCTAGATCTCCATTAACTTTCATAACTAACCACCAAATCGCAGCAAATATTAACCAACTTGTCACAAAACTCAGTGTAAATACACAAAATGTCCAATGCCACGGAAGATCAATCAGCGTGGTGAATATGTCGTGTAAATAATGTCTAGTACGCTTTTCTATTTTGAATCTAAAAGAAAGTTAAGTTCATCTCAACTCACTCGGTACCTCTACTGATAGTTATACTACAGTACTAAAAAGCATAGAAAGTATTATAAAGAAATTCTACACTTTACTCAGTTTATTATATAGTAGAGTGCAGGATATGTGCTGTACAATATATAGTGCAAATGACAGAGAGAGTGACTGATGGAATATGAATGGAAAGAGTAGATGATAAAAGGAACAATGCAAAAGTGAATGTAACTGGGGAGAGATAGACACACAATGAGAGAGTGATAGAAGTGAGTGTGTGAGAGCCATTGGGAGGAGAAAATTGTTACATCTCCTCGCACTGCGCAAATGACTGATCCACACAAACAGATGAAAACAAAACGAGAAATCATTAAAACAAACAGTTTAAAACAGAACATGACGAAAGAATGCAATGCTAAAAAGAACGACGGACAAGACAGAGACGAATGTTCATTCGCACAGCTACCAATAACGGATGAATCATGTTACGGCGGAGGAGGGGGCTGAGTACATTTTCCTAATGTCAGGACAAATGAAAGCAAATCATGCGATATATCATTCGATAGAACTTTTCGAGCTCATTGTCCGAGCTACTTGTTTAACTTTTGCCATCTGAAAAATCCCTTTTAAATAATTTTTGGCGTTCATTTCTTCGTTCATCAGTGAGAGATTTCTAAATAACTTTTGATTGACACTAGCTAGAGAGTTGCGGTTTCCGTCATTCGATATCGCCGAATCTTTATTTGACAAACGGGCTTTTCAAAACTTGTTCAAAATCCAGTTTGAACTCGCAGCATAAATCCCTGTTTTGGAATTCTTTTCCGAAAACGAGTATTGCCATTCAGCGTGGCTCAATACGTACATTTCATGCAAGTTCAATATCGCGGGAAGTCACCGGGTATCATTGCTGGGGCCAGACCGAACCACGATACTACACGTGGAAAGGAAGGGCGCTCGCTTAGTACCCGTTCTATAAGAAACACTTTGGGCTATCTACTCATGAAAAAAAATCAATTTATTCATGCCGCGAGTTTCAGAGTTAGGTCGAGATTTTCCAGAGATCTCCTGGAAAACTGGATTTTGAACAAGTTTTGAAAAGCCCGTTTGTCAAACAAAGATTCGGCGATATCGAAGGACGGAAACCGCAACTCTCTAGCTAGTGTCAATCAAAAGTTATTTAGAAATCTCTCACTGATGAACGAAGAAATGAACGCCAAAAATTATTTAAAAGGGATTTTTCAGATGACAAAAATTAAACAAGTAGCTCGGACAATGAGCTCGAAAAGTTCTATCGAATGATATATCGCATGATTTGCTCCCATTTGTTCTGACATTAGGAAGATTTACGTTGTCCACTGGATTGCCACTAATTGGTACTAACCAGAACTCATTAGTAATTAAAAAGCGATCAGAAATATCTTTTTTAAAGATTTCTTGTATGGCATTATATCTACAAACATTTCTCTATAAAACTACCTTACAATCAGTTGAATGTAACATTTATGTCAGAAAATAGAACGGCTGTAAAAGATGCCTCTCAAACTAAAAATTTCAATTATTTTTGAACTTAATTAATTAAAAGCTCTGTCAGTACTAGAACAACGAGCTTTTTATTGCATAGGCATACCACGGAAAGTGTTCTCTACAAACTGACCAAATCTGAGGGCATATTTGGGGAAGGACACCTCGCTCTTAAATATGTAGGACGAAGGTGACTTGTTTGGATTCACCTTTCCCTCCTCACGACCTGCTTCCACACGCTAGTTTGGCAGTTTTGGTCCGTCAATGAATAATCTTATGAAAGTATGCTAGAAACTGCTGTCTGTACACTAAGAAGAAAACGTTTTCTCGAAAACTGGAAGTGGTTCGAAAACTCTTTCAGAAACTGTTTTGGCCTGTAGAACTGGAATACGAAACCCCTGGAGGCTTTGCAAATGACTTGGGAAACCGAAAGGATATTTTTTTTGTAATACAGTAAACGGTATCCGAGCTCTCAGAAACCCAAAAGATTTTTGAGCAGAATGTTCACACATGGAAAGAGTATCAACGTGTTCCTAAACCGAAAGAGTATTGTCAGAAACCCTTTTGGAACGTAACATTTCTTTGAAAACCGGAACGGTATCCCAGTATACCCTTTTCAGTTTCCGTTAATACTCCATTCGATATCTGGAGATTTTTCTGCAAAACTCTTCGGTTTTGCAATCCTTTGCGTTTCCGAGAGAACCCTTTGTTTTAAGTTTTTTCGTCTATAAAGCGAAGTTCAGTTGCATCACAAAAGTAGATCGTCAGAATATCAACAATTTGTCTCGTGTAAAAAACTTAAGTAGAAAATGCAACCCTTATTAGGACATGAAATTTTTGGGATATTCGAATCACTGTTCGCACATATTACACCCGAAGTGTTCAAAGGATGATTGCGATGTGAAAAACGAGCAGCCACTATGCCGCCTTCCGAACCGGTGAATGGTTGTGTACGAGCGATATCTGAATTGACCGCAGCATCTGACACTGCAAAGACAGGAAACAAGTGTACGGCAACCCCAGCACTGATAAGCGTTTTGTTACGCAGTTTCAAATAATCAGCGGAAACTGTGTGCCATTCGCCATTTTCCAAATCGTCCATAATAATGTCCCATTTTTGTTCATCTTTATATATCTGTTACAGTGAAAATTAAAATTCCACTAGTGGAAATTAAAATTTCAGTCTTCACCAGTGGAGTTTAAAAATGCAATCATTAGAGCTTGGTGAGTTTTCGTAGAATTTTGAATTTTTAAGGCTAGTAGTACTATGGTGGAAGTGGTTGGGAAAAAATTTTGAGCAAAATTCATGCGCTGTTTTGGTGCACTAGTAGAATTTTAATTTCCACTGTAACATATCCATTGAACTGACTGTTGCGAAATAGGTAATTTACTTTTGCGCACAATAACAAGATCGCTTACGCGAGATGGAAAAGACAGACTGAGACCACTAGACAATGGACGACGCCAACAGATAAACATATTTTTGTTGAAGGATGAAAAAAAGTCAGAATCAGCCCCTCCCCCGACTCTCAGTTCTTGTTCTCACTTTAAGTTTTAAAAGTTTTCTAAATCAACCATTCGATACAGCTCATCAAGTTGTACTCCTGGTAAAATTGTCAGACTTACAACCAGTAACCTCATCCAATGAGAGAGGTGCAAAAGGATGTCGAAAGCATCAAAAACCTTTCTCCATATAGTATTGTAATATGTATTTCTCTTTTAAAATGGTCAAAATTTAACAAAATCACAGCTTATTTATAATTAAAATATAGCTAACGAGGGAACCCCACGAAGTGATTAAACGCTTTTTGCTCGGAATCTAGTGGGTTATAGGTTATCGACCATGCTGATTACGAATACGACCATGCGGCTTTCGCATAGCCCTTCGAAGACCTAGTTTTCTAGAAAACTAGTTTTTCAGAAACCCCAAAAAATAACCCCGAACCGTTCTTAATGAGACATGATTGTAGCCCGCACATTTCTGATTAAAATGAGACCTCTCCCAACTCTACATGGCCTTTCTTTGCAAAGTTATAGAATTTACATGAAGAGCCCTAAATTAATTTCTTCTTATTTCTGTAGCTTTTAGCTGACAATGAACATTTAGGGCTTTTGTTGTAAATTCTATAACTTTGCAAAGAAA